TCCATTGACGATGGTATCTTTGAAGTGAAATCGACGGCGGGTGACACCCACTTGGGAGGAGAGGACTTTGATAACCGCATGGTCAGTCATTTCATTGAGGAGTTCAAGCGTAAAAACAAGAAGGACATCAGTCAGAACAAGAGAGCAGTGAGGAGGCTGAGGACAGCCTGTGAAAGAGCCAAGAGAACCCTGTCTTCCAGCACACAAGCCAGCATTGAGATTGACTCCCTGTTTGAAGGCATTGACTTCTACACCTCCATCACCAGGGCTCGATTTGAGGAGCTGAATGCTGACCTTTTCAGAGGCACTCTGGAACCAGTGGAGAAAGCTCTGAGAGATGCCAAGTTGGACAAGTCACAGATCCATGACGTTGTCTTGGTTGGGGGCTCCACCCGCATTCCCAAGATCCAGAAACTGCTGCAAGATTTCTTCAGTGGCAAGGAGCTGAACAAGAGCATCAATCCTGATGAGGCCGTGGCCTATGGGGCAGCTGTTCAAGCAGCTATTCTGATGGGGGACAAGTCTGAGAATGTTCAGGACCTACTTCTCCTGGATGTTGCTGCCCTGTCCCTGGGTCTGGAGACAGCAGGAGGTGTCATGACCGCACTCATCAAGCGGAACACCACCATTCCCACCAAGCAGACCCAGATCTTTACTACCTACTCCGATAACCAGCCTGGTGTGCTTATTCAGGTGTATGAAGGAGAGCGAGCCATGACCAAGGACAACAATCTCCTGGGGAAATTTGAGTTGAGTGGCATTGCTCCTGCCCCTCGTGGTGTGCCACAGATCGAGGTCACCTTTGATATCGATGCCAATGGCATCTTGAATGTCTCTGCCATTGATAAGGGCACTGGCAAATCGAACAAGATCACTATCAGCAATGACAAGGGCAGGCTGAGTAAGGAGGAGATTGAGAGGATGGTGCAGGATGCAGAAAAGTACAAGACTGAGGATGAAGCCCAGCGGCAGAGGATTGCATCTAAGAACTCTCTGGAGTCCTACGCCTTCAACATGAAGAGCACAGTTGAGGATGAGAATGTCAAAAATAAGATCAGCAATGGAGATAGGAAGAAAATTCTTGAGCAATGCAACCAGGCAATCCTGTGGCTGGAGAACAATCAGATGGCAGACAGGGAGGAGTTTGAGTACCAGCTGAAGGAACTGGAGAAACTTTGCCGTCCCATTATTGCCAACCTTTACCAAGGAGGAGGAGCAGCAGCAGGGGCTTCTTGCAGAGCCCAGGCTGGCAGTGCCACTTCCACAGGACCAACTGTCGAGGAGGTGAATTAAAACACTGAGAAGTCTGTACCTCTGAAATCCAGAACTGAACCTTAGACTTTTTTTGTTTTTTTTTTTCTCCACTCCCTGTCATTGAAAGTTTGCTGCAGAAGTTACTACCAGGTACAACAGTTAAGATGTTAGTGATCTGGGAGCCTGTTGACATTTGTAATTTAATTTTCTGAACTCTGTGGAAGAAGATCAATGTGTTTGCCATCTTGTTGTATTGGCTTGATATGGAATAGTTCTTAATGTACAGAAGTATTTATTTTTGGTTACAAGTACTGTTTATTTTTGGAAAAAATCTAATAAAAATGTTCACTTAATGATTTCTGTATGTTGTTTTCTGTGCTGTGTAACTTCAAGTAAGTGCTATGAATGAATTTTTTTTTGTTTTCCCCACTGAGGTATATTTGATCTATTTTCACACCAGCACTGAGACTTATTTTAACACCCAATTAACCAATATCGAACAGTAAAGCACAGGAACAGGCCCTTCAGCCCACGGTGTTGTGCTGAATCTGACCCAAAGTTCAACTAATCCCTTCTGCCTGCCCTCTCCATTCCACGTTTATTCATGTACATATCTAAAAGCCCCTTAAATGCCTCTATGCTATCTGCCTGCACCACTACACCAGCCGTGCATTCCACAAACCTTTTTTTTCAAAAAACGCTCCCTCGCATTTCTTTTGAACCTTCCCCTCTTACTGTGAATGCATGCCCTCCACTATTAGACATATCAACTCTTCACAGGGGGAAGATGCTGCCTGTCAACCTTATCTCTCAAACTCTTATCATGTTTCCCCTCGACCTCTGCCGCTCCAGAGAGAACAACCCTTGTCTAATCCAGCCTCTCCTAATAACTCATACTCTCTCATCCAGACAGCATCCTGGTGAACACCTTTTGCACTCTTCCCCAAAGCCTCCACATCCTTCCTGTAGTGCGGCAACCAGAATTGATCAGAACACTCCAAGTGCGGCCTAACCAAAACAAGGGAAATGTTTACATTTCCTTCATCTCAAAATCATGTCATTGGCAAAGACCGTTTTAGAATTGCTTACTCATGATAAAATACTGTTTCTTGTTGATGTTTTATTTTCAATTTAAACTGAACTTCATGCTCAATACTGTTTACTGCAAAATGACAAGATTGTTGTCCAAAATAAGAAAGAATTAACATTTCAGTCATTAATAAATTGTATCTTTAAAATTGTACAGAATGTCCATGTGCCGACTGGCTGGCTACAACAAAGACGTTGTCGGGTGAATAAGTGGGCGCTGGTAATGAGGAGTTAGTGTTGGCAGAATCATAATGTCAGTTCAGAGGCCAGGTCAATGTTTTGGGGCATAGGTTTAAATCTGTCCACTGTAGGTTGAGCAATTTGATTTCAGTTTCAAAACAAAATGGAAGAAAGCTGTGGCCACCATGCAATAAAGTCATCATTGTCAATTGTTGTTTCAAACAATCTGGCTCCCTATTGTCCTTTAAGGAAGGAAGCTGCTCTCCTTACCTGCTCGACTGACATGTGAAACCAGTACCAGAGCAATGTGGATGATTCATAACTGTTCTCTTGCCAAGTAATGACAGGCAATGAACACTGACCCAGCCAGCAATGCCCACACCCTGCGAACGAATGAATAATAAAAGACATCTTGGTCCGAGTTCCCTGCTGCAGTCAATGCAATTCCACAAGGTGTTGTGGCCTGCTGTCTGTATCAAAACCTGCACCAGGGTCTGACTACTCCCCAACACTATCCTCTTTCATAATTTGAGTTTGGGTCTTTCAAAATGAGTAGACAGAATTTCAATCAGTAAGGGAATCAAGGGTTATAGGCAAAAGGCAGGAAAGTGGATTTGAAGATTATCAGATCAGTCATGATCTCATTTTATCACTGTCATCTACATTGGAACAGGCAAAGGGAGGAAATTAGAAATTGGTGACCAATTTCACTGCCGAACACAGATTACAAAATCGTGTCTAAGGTCATCGCCCACTGAGTCAGGCCACCTTTGGGATCAGTGATTTATCCTGACCAAACCTGTGCTGTACCAAGCAGGATGTTCTCGGAGAGTCTCATGCTCCTCCGGGATACGATTCCCTATGTGTAGGAACGGGGTGTGGACACCCACCTCATTTTTCTGGACCAGGAGAAGGCCGTTGACAGGATGTCATACACCTACATTTGCGACATGCTGTCCAAAATGGGCTTTGTGGCGGTAATCTGCACTTGAATCCACCTGGTTCCCTGCTGCAGTCAATGCAATCCCACAGGGTTTTGTGTCTTGCTGTCTGTATCATAGCCAGCACCAGGGTCTGACTACTCCCCAACACTGTCCTCTTTCATAATTTGTTATAAAAACACTACTAAGTTGTGAACATTTATGTCCCAACATGTCTTGGCTCCTCTGTATTCGAATTGGCTCATGCTTCACCAGGCATTTAGTCATGTATCTTTCTGGTTCCATCACAACGTGCCCAATAATATGACAACAAAGTGCTTTGAGACGGTGTACAATGTTAAACTACACAGATACAAGTTGATATTATTCTGGTCAGTGGCACAATCGGCAGGAACACCACTGACACAGTGTATGATGCCTGTTGCTGAGAGATTATGTGAAATCAGAACAATAAAACCAAAGACTCTCGGTTGTGAATAGTCTGCCAATTTACTTCAGCTCTAATACCCTCCAGGTATAATGTAGTTCAGCAACCAGGAACAAAGCCTGTGTTATGAACCTGCTCTTCTGCTCTGAGAGATTGACTGGACTGTGACTGATGACACCAAGCGAGTAAATTGAAGAGCAATCCCTGAGTAACTTCAGCAGCAGTTTCCTAACCAGGACACTAGGTGGCAATGTTGCCTGCTGCAAATGACACCAAATGAAACAAGAGAGAAAGAACACAAGTGAAGGATATCTGAAAGCACAAAATGCTGAGAGAGTGAGAAAGACAGCACTAGCAGAATTTGTTAAACTCCTGAAATCCCCTCCCTGACAGCATTGTGCATCAAACTAAACAAGATGGACTCCATCAGTTAATAAAGTAGCTCACCACCACCTTCTCAAGGAAAACTAGGTAAGGGCAATAAAGCTGGACGAGCCAGTGATGCCTGCATCCCATGAGTCAATAAAACTTAAGACATGAAGTGGAAGAAAGTAACAAAGTTTATATCAGGTTTACTATGCAAATATGTGAATGTGCTGAGTAGAGTTAATAACATTGGAAAAATCATTTCATGGCACTTCCAGAGACATGCCTCAAGGAAGGTCTGGCCTGAGTGCCAAATATTATTGATGACAAGGTGTTCAGAAAACAATGTATGGAGGATCAGTAGCTGTATTGGTGAATGAGAGCATTCCATGTCTGGAGAAAGTGGATGTCCCACAATGTCCAAGGATAGAATGAATTTGTCCTTGAACTCATGAACAAAAACAGTACAATGACATTACGATGTGTCATCTCCCAACCACTCACCATTTAGATGGATATAGAGGAACAAAGCTGTATGCAAATTACAGAGAGATGCGAACATTATCAAGTCGTTTTAATGGGGAACTTGATTAAAACGACTATAGACTGGGGCACTGGTGCTGTGTAATGTGAAGGACAAGGAATCAACATCAGTATGTGTCCTGTCCAACAGGGAAGGATCCACTCTTCAACCTGACCCATGGAAATATGGTGGGCCAACCAGATCAAGTGTGAGTGTGTGGCCATTTTGGAGACAGGGATAATTCTGCAGAATTCTTTACTGCAGCGTGCTGTTGAGTTTGGGCCTTTCAAAATGAGTGGAGAGAATTTCAATCAGTAAGGGAATCAAGGGTTATGGGCAAAGGGCAGGAAAGTGGATTTGAAGATTATCAGATCAGCCATGATCTCAATGATCTCATTATCACTGTCATCTACATAGGAGCAGGTAGAGGGAGGAAATTAGAAATTGGTGACCAAATGCACTGCCGCTTGCAGATTACAAAATCCTGACGAAGGTCATCGCCTGCTGGGTCAGGTCAGCTCTGGGATCTGTGATTTCCCCTGACCAAACCTGTGCTGTACCGAGCAGGATGATCTCCGAGTGTCTCGTGCTCCTCAGGGATACGATTCCCTATGTGCAGGACCGGGGTGTTGACACCCACCTCAACAGACTGGACCAGGAGAAGGCTGTTGACAGGATATCATATACCCACATTTGGGACATGCTCTAACCACTAAATTCAGGATTCAATGCATCACTTTCCACCACTTCCGACACCTGCAATCTGACCCCACATAGCGAAGGATATATTTCCCTCCGCGCCCCTATCTGTCTTTCGGAGGCACCGCTCTCTCCACGACTCCCTTGTCCATTCCACACTCCCCACTAGCCCCACAACCCCAGCACCTTTCCCTGTAACCGCAGGAAGTGCTACACCTGCCCCTACACCTCCACCCTCACCTCCATGCCAGGACATAAAAAAACTTCCACATCAGACAGATGTTCACCTGCACATCCGCTAAAGTGGTCAATTGTATCCACTGTTCCTAATGTGGCCTCCTCAACATCGGTGAGACCAAGCGGAGGATCGGAAACTGCTTTGTAGACAATCTGCGCTCGGTTCGCGACAAACAACACCTTCCAGTCGCGAACCATTTACATTCCCCCTCCCACTCCCTGGACAACACGTCCATTCTGGGCCTTCTCCAGTGTCACAACGACGCCACCCAGAAACTGGAGGAGCAGCACCACATATTCCTCTTTGGGAGCCTACAACCCAATGGTCTCAATGTGGACTTTACGAGCTTCAAAATCTCCCCACCCCCGGCCTCATCCCATGACCAACCCTCCCTCTTATCCCCGCCTCCTTGACCTGTCTGTCTTCTATCCCACCTATCCGCTCCTCCAACCTAACTGACCAATCCCCACCAGTGCCTATCTGCACTCACCTATCACCATTCCCCCTACTTTCCACAGCCCCACCCTCCTCCCTCTATTTATTTCAGAGCCCCATTAACCCTCCTCCATTTAAGAACAAGAGTCCCGACACGAAACATCAGTTTGCCTACACCTCTGATGTTGCCTGGTCTACTCCTCCTCCTCCTCCTCCTCCTCCTCCTGCAGTGTTCCTCCAGCTCCACACTGTGTTATCTCTCCATAACAGGCTTTGTGGAGAGAATCTGCAATTGGACCAACTGCTCTACACCAACATCGTTGGTGCACTCTCAATCAATGGACAGGAATCAGAAAGCTTGCCAAACAGATCTGGAGTCAGGCAGGGTTACCACTCTCTCCTGCCTTGTTTGTGTGTTTTATAAGGAACTTTGCTGAGACCATCGTGAAGATGT